GATTGCAGAACCACGGGATGCTTTAGCTTGGAAAAGCCTCCAGCTCTTCCCTCAGCACTGCCCCATGTCCCCAGGTGCCACATCCACACTTTTCAATCCCTCCAGGGGTGCCGTCTCCACCATGGGCAACCCTTTCCATGAAGAAATTTTCCCAATATTCCACCTAAACCTCCCTTGAAGCCGTTTCTTCTCACCCTGGCCATCCTCCCCCCTGCTCAGGTGCCAACAGAGCCTCTAATCATGGTTTTACTCCTTTTTCCCCTGTAGTGGAACAGAGCCCACCCCAAGCATCTTTAAAAATGCATCTGCTCTGCTCTGAAACACATGGAATAATAGAAAAGTTGGGAGCGGGAGCGCCCTGGCCCTGCCCAGCTCTCAGAGCAGATCCTTTAAAGAACACAGAGCATTTTCTGTGCTCCTGACCCAAAGATGGGATCAGCCAGACACATCTGGGCACGGGAGCCTCTGGATGTGGATCCCTGGGGGATCTGGGATCGCTGCTGGTGCTGCAGATCCCCCGCAGCCCTGAAAGCTCTCTGGGAGCACCCTGAGCTCCACACACAGCACCCACAGCTGCTCCCCAGACAGGCTGGATATTCCAGGATCAGCCCCCTGGGATGGGGTTTAGCAGGACACAGGGGTTGAGGTGGCAGCACAGATGGGCCCTGTGGAACAAGGTGTGGTGAAGGGACCTGGAGCAGCTTTCCAGGCTGGAGAATGCACCATCCTAAGCAGCCCTAAAAGATAAAACAGGGGCAGGGCTTCTCCAGGGAATTCATCTGCATTTGCCTGTAGCCTCCAGGCTCCACCTTTACACACATCCCTGCACCCCTGGCAGCAGTGGCATGGCCACACTGAGACCACATCTCTGTCCCACCTGAGCTCCAGGGCTTTAGATGGCCACAGTCCTGGAGGGTCTTGGCTTTAGAGCAGGAGGAAGCGACACAAAAGAGCGAGGCATGGAAGGAAACAGCTTGGGTGGAGCAGAGAGATCCTGGGAACTGGTGTCTGACAGCTCCAGCAGCCCAGAACTGGTGGGCAGTGATCCTTGGGAAGCTTTTGCAGCAGCAGAGATGGGATGAGATGGGATCCATGGGATGGGATGGGGTGGGATGGGATGGGATGAGATGGATGGGATGGGATTGATGGGATTGATGGATTGAGCTGTCACATCCCCATTTATTGGTGTCTCCACCTGAGCTGGTCATTAAGAGCAGGTGAGGAAGGTGCCCCTGAGCCCTGAGCCAGGGTTTGAGGTCACAGGTTGATGTCAGAGCAACAGAGGCTCCGTGGTTCCTCTCCAGTGACCCTCACTGGAGCCCAGAGGCTTCCACTCACCCATCACCCCTGCTCTGAAGGCCCCACAGCATCTCCCTGCTCAACTGCTGGTGCTGATGTTTTCTTCAGTTCTCAGGGTGCCCCTGGGACCTGGCCCAGCCCCTCAATCCCACCAGCCTGGAGGGAGGTGAGGAATGAAGTCCTCAAAGGTGGCTGGAGCTGAGCTCTGGGCCAGCTCAGGGCTGCAGGTGCCAGCAGAGGTGGAAGCAAAAGAGCTGGAAAACCTCAAACCTTGCTCATGCCTCAAACCTCGGATGGAAACCCAGGGTGAGAGTGGAGTGTCCACTCCAGCCCATATTCCTTTCCTTTAATGCTGTTCTGGGGCCAGTGTCAGGCTCAGGGGTGTCCTTCGTGCCCCAGGAGTGCGGGTGACACCTCTGTGTGTGTCTGTTTTCCTTCTCACACCCGCTCTCCTCCTCACCCTGGGCTTTTCCCACCTCACCCTGTGGCAGAAGCTCTGCAGAGCCGGGATTTCACAGATTTCACGGATTTGGAGGCACCCAGGTCCTCCTAGAGCAGGAGGAGAGGCCACTGCAGCACAGCTGGAACCTGCTCCTGGTGAGTCCTGGCTGCCAGAGCCGCGCCAGGAGGAGCAGCAGCTTCTCCCTGCCCTGTGCCAGGAGCAGGGCAAGCACAAGGGACCCTCTCCACCTCCTTCCTGGCTTTTCCCTGAGGATCCTGGAGGCTCAGGCTGGCCTGGGAGTAGTGGGAGCTGCTGGAGCAGGAGCAGAAAGAGGAGCTGGAGATGGAGCAGGGGGAGCAGAAGAAAGAGCAGGGGCAGGAGCAGAATCAGGAATAGGAGTAATAGCAGGAGGAAGAGAAGAAGGAGGAGCAGAAACACGAGCAGGAGCAGAAACACGAGCAGGAGCAGGGACAGGAGCAGGGATAGGGGCAGGAGATGGAGCAGGAAGAGGAACAGGAGCAGGAGCATCAGGAGTAGAAGATGGAACAGAAACAGGAGTAGGAGCAGGAAGGATTGGGAAGAAGAGGAGGAGGAGGAGCAGAAACACGAGCAGGAGCAGGGACAGGGACGGCAGCAGCAGCGGCAGCAGCAGGAGCGATGCCCGGGCCGGCTGGGATGAGTTCTCCAGGCCTCCCGTCCCAGAGCCGCCCCATCCCCGGCTCGGATCCCCCCTTACCTGCCCGGGGGTCCCCGCTCCGCTTCCCCAGCGCGGCGCTCCCCCCTTTGCGCCTGGGAAAGAGCGAGCCGGGGCTTTATCAGCGCGGCTGATGAATATTGCATCTCCCGTGAAGGCGGCGGAGCGGGGGCACCGGGCCCGGCACCGGGCACGGCCGGGAGGGGAGCGGGGAGCGGGGAGCG